GTCTGGTGGTGTCTAACCAATTAAATCCAGCAACTTTGTTGCCTACGGAGTCTGTTTCTGAGCATGATTGTTTGCAGGTATTGGAGGTTTATTCCACCCGACCATGTAAATAAGGTAAATATGTATGTTAGGTGGCCTGATTTAGGTCATAAAGGGGGGTTTTGGAATATGGAGATGGTACAAGAACTTAATAAGCAAATTGAGAGATTCCAACAATATGTGATGGAATAGGTACCCCCTAGATTAGTAACTTAATGTCACTCATTTGAACCTGGGGACCAAGTGGAAGATGGAAGGGATCTTTTATTGGTATTATGACTTCTCCACTTGCTATTAAGATTGCAGAATCAAAATCATGGATCCATCGGACATGAGTCAAGGCAGCAGCTGACACCGGCTGGAAAGTGTCCGTGGACAAACAACATCCAACAAAACTGACATTTGAATGTGCTTAAAGAAAGCTTTTGTATTCTATATATAGGTTACCTTGATGTGTATCTGCTGATGTAACCCGCTGTAAGCTAAAAAGAGGATGGAGCACCTGCTCTCTTGAATTGGTCCGGAACTTGGATCCTGACAAGAGATTGAAGATCATTGTGGATCCATGTGGGAGGAAAATTGGGTGTGGGCACTTTGAGTAATTGGGGTAGTAGCTTTATTGATTATTGTGTTTTACAGATATAAGCAATGGTTTTGTGGACAACCAGGGCCCATTTGATTTCTCAGTCGTTCCGATTCCTAATATTTCCCCCCGGCTGCGGAGTGTGAACCTCTTACAGATGAAAGAAGTCCCTGCTTAGGACACCCTGGAAGCTGCCTTTTGATGCAAAAGAACAGAAAAGAGAATTTTCTTTAAATGTGTTGGTTTTGTAATTGTGGGTGTGAGTGTTGTTGTTGCACTCACTGTATTGATTGTGTTTTATGTATAAGCTGTAAAGTAGAGTGTGACGTGAAAATTATAGAGGAGGTGCTAGTACATTATTTGGTAATAAATCCTGAAGAAGTCCCCTTGTAATATTATCTGAAAAGGGAAAAGCTGAATATACCTGAAATTCCTAGTCATGTAACAAATACCTTTGTCAAATTGGCAGAAGACATAGCCCACACTCTGAATGTATCAAATTGTTTTGTTTGTGGAGGAACTAACATGGGAGAAAAATGGCCATGGGAAGCTCAAGGAATTAAAATTATTCCAAAATATTAGAAATGGATCAGAAAGGTAATCTGTCATATAATAAGGGTAAGGATGGAGACTGGACATTGAATACTAGTCTGGTAGGGAATGTGTGTTTTCAGGGAAAAATTGTGGCAGGCTGTCATCAGGTAGGAAACCTCATATGTACAGGAAAATGAGAAAGTAAGATATGGTGGTCAGGAGGTAATGCCACAGAGGGAACTGATAAAAGGGCCCTGTTTAAGGTAAACGGGTTATCTTTTTTTAAAGGGTCCTGATAATCAGGCCCTTGAATGGCTGGCTCCTGATGGGCTATACTGGATATGTGGTAAAATGGCATATGGGGTTCTACCGAAATCTTGGTGTGGAGCTTGTGTCCTGGGAATAATTGGACCAGGATTCTTTTTGCTTCCCCTAAAACTCGACAGGTTTTAGGTGTCCCGGTATATGATGAGGTGGGAAACTTAAGACAAAGAAGACATGTAGATACATCTGCAATAGGAAAAGTTAGGGTTGGAGGTAACCAACATAGTTGGGGAAGTGAAGAATGGCCTGCGGAGCGAATTATTGAGGTTTATGGACCAGCTACATGGGCGGAAGATGGCATGTATGGCTATCAGACCCCTATATACATTCTGAACCGTTTAATTCGTCTGCAAGCGGTGGTTGAAATCATCACCAACGAAACTGTAAAAGGTCTTACTCAATTAGCTAGGGAGAGTGTCAAATCAAGGACATATCTTATGCAGAATAGGTTAGCCTTAGACTATTTGTTAGCCAAGGAAGGAGGGGTATGTGGAAAGTTTAATTTGACTAACTGCTGTATAGAGGTTGATGAAAGCGGAAAGGTTATTAAGGAAATAACAGACAAAATGGTTGAAATAGCTCATGTGCCAGTCCAGACTTGGAAAGGTCTTAATTTACAGGACATGTTTTCAGGATGGTGGCCAAAGTTACCTGGCCTGCAGGCCATTTTTGGCCTGGTGGGATTAGTAGCTGCAGGGTGTATTTTTCTCCCATGTATTTTACCTCTGTTTGTTAACACTATTAAAAGTCTATCCTTGCTGGTGGAACGTAAGACAACTGCTCAGGTGATGGCTATGTGGGATTACAAACGGCTCCAGCAGGAAGAGGATCTATGGTGTGACTCGTCTGGATAAAGATGAGTCACAAAGGGGGGTATGAGCCAGGCTAAGATTCGATATTGGGATAAAACTCAAATATTAGAAATCCAAATCTTTGGTCAAGACAGAAGTGCCTCTTCCGTGCCAAGGTGCTGAGATGGCAAATGGTATTTGACGTAGGTACAGAATTGTAAAAGGGCAAACTGACCCTAAACAGATACATTCTGTTGTTTAATGTTTATTGCATCCCAAATGTCATGCATATCCCTGGATAAGGGGTGCTGCTTCCTTATTGCCCTTGAGGCGTCTCCTAGCCTCTTAACTCCTTTTGTTATGTCTTGAGCTCCGGAGCTGAAAACCTGAGCCTGTGGGAACAGGGCTGTTATGTCTTTCCTAGAGATAGATTAAAGGGTAGCTTCTACGTGTGAAATGCATCACTCTCTGTAATACCTTTGCCTTTAAACTGTATAAATACATGGCCAGAAGAAGCCATCGGCGTTCAGACCCTTTTCTTGTCTTTGGACTGTTTGAACCTTGCGCAATAAACTCTTTCCTGCATTGAAGAGCTTGCCCAGTCCGTTATTTTGTCTACAACACTCTAACATACAAATGTTCCATGTTTAATGAAGATTTATAATGAAATTTTAAGTAATAAACAATTCCCTTGTTACTCTTATTACAGATTCTTAAAGCAATCTACTGGTTCTTAGGCTGAAAAGTAGGAAGTTACTGTTTGGTTTGAGTTCCCATTGTTCTAAGATTGGAAGACTGAAAATATTTTATGTTTTGTTCCATTTGAAAAAAGCCACTTTAGAATATCTAACCTAAATATATATACTTGTATATGTATGCATACATAATTAGTACAGGGGAGAAATCCACTTATCTTTGCTATCAGTTCGCAAATGGGAGCATGTGTGCTCGCTTCGCTTGTGCGCAACACCTCTGCACATGCACAGAGTGTCAAAAATGGGACATGATGACGTCTGGGCGAGTGGGCAGAGCCTCCCACCACCGGCACTACTGGTTTGCCCATGCCAGATAGAACTGGCTGCATTTCACCACTGATTTAGTACCAATTAATAGAATTGCAATTGCAATCAGGTCTTCCTTAAACTCACACTAGAGGCATCTGCTTGGCTACAGTAAGCAAAGTATACTATATCAAGTAGACAAATGTTTCTGGATATTGTCAGCTTTAATAAATATTATCAAAGACTACTAAATATGATAGCTCTATAACACAAGCTCCAGAAGAGATGAACTTCTTTAGTACCAATTAATAGAATTACAGTTGCAAGAACCTTGGTGGCACATCAGACTAAAGTGCTGTTAAGTAGCACCAGCTGCCTCCAATTACTGTGAGTTCAAATCTCACCAGGCTCAAGGTTGACTCAGCCTTCCATCCTTTTGAGGTAGGTAAAATGAGGACCCGGATTGTGGGGGCAATAAGCTGACTTTGTTTTAAAAAGAACACCGCTTAGGGGAGGCCGAAAGCCCTACTAAGCAGGTATATACAAAAGTATGAAGGCTATTGCTTAACGCATTGTAAGCCGTCATGAGTCTCCAGAGAAGGGCGGCTTATAAATCGAACCAATAAATAAACAATAAATAAATAAATCAGGTCTTTCTTAAACTCACACGAGAGGCATCAGGTTGGCCACAGTAAGCAAAATATACTACATCAAGTAGACAAATGTTTCTGAATCTTGTCAACTTTCAGACAAATGAGCTTTCACTCCTGGAATTCTTACCAATAGCAATGCTGACTGGAGAAATATAATTTGATATGAACTCCACACAAACAGAAGTTGACAAATTTGGAAAACACTGAAATAAACTTCTGGTCTCACTCACTATGGCACCTATATTCTTAAATTCTTTTCCATATTTTTGCCATTTCTCTCAAAGAAATATTGATGTCTCTTAGATAGTAATGTGAAAACTTGAGTTTAGCTGTAATGGGGCATACCAATTTACATTTCTAAAGTGGAAAAAAGGCTCAATTTCTAATTTAAAATTGCCATTAAATAAATGTATATAGTTTGGGGAGGGTCTTTAGAAAATATTTTATTAATGTAAAACATTTTAATAATCTCTAGCAAGAAAAATAAAATTATCTTAGAAATGTGTGTAATTAAGAAAAAATTAGGAATGTACTGCATAGGTAAACTTTTTTATTCTTAGTTTGAGAAAGTCCTTTTATTTCTTTATTTTCTTTATTTTCTTTCTTTATTACTAGAGAAAACTATTATTAAGTATCTGGTCTACTAAAAAAAGTGAGTATTCATCCTAAAGGACTTGAACATAAGCAAAGCAAAACTTTATTATAAATTGTTTTTGTTAAAGTATTTTGCCTCAGGACAGTAACTTAATCTGACTTCAATGTTAAAGTTGTAACTTTAATTACAATACAAACAATAGGGGATTGACTATAATAGACCTTTTTGAAAATTATTTCCTGCATCCAGGGAAAAACAATAGATCCTCATTCACTGGCTAATTCCATTATGACTTCTATTATCTAATTTTAATAATATTGTTGAAGAAACAGGAGCTTGTCTGTAAAGAAGATTTCTCAACACCATTACATTTAAGCATGTATCCTGAGGGCAGGGGAGGAGGCTAATGCATGCTGTTGCTGTAAGTACATGTTCCCAATCACACATATAAACTACAGCTTCATTACTAATATGTCTAACCTTGATCAAGCGATGGTTGGCCTCTTTGAGTCTACTGTCAAGCTTATGTTTTACTTCAGGGGTCAGTGATGCAGTACTGAGTGCTTTTCCTCCAGTTTCATTTAATTGGTTCAGTATTCCCTTGTGTGGAGGTAGTTCTTCCACTTTTAACTAGAAAAGACCAATGCAACATTTAAAATGAATAGCAGAATTTTCAAGTTCCTTATCTTCGTTTCTATTGATTTATCAGCTGAGGCAAATAGACTCAAGAGCTCAATTCAGAACAAAATATCCACAACTTTTATTCAAGGTTTATATGCCTCTGGTTCAAGAACAATCCTACAAGGGATGAAGCATTTGCAGAGAGTTTGGAATACTTCAAAAATATTTTCATACTAGTATAATAAACTATTATGATTTCTTCAAATAAAAAAAAATTGCATACCTTATTTTCCTTTTTTTTTTTTTTTAGGGTGGGGCCATAAGGAGAGATCTCTGGGGAACAAGACAGTGTAACAAATTATGATTAGATCCTGAATTGTTGGGAGAGATTTGGATTTTACAGAAGCTACAGCTCTGGATGGACACTTTATTATTATTATTTTAATACATATCAATATCAATACATGAACAGTGAGGCATCTGGGTATCATTCATTTGGATACAAGTAGTAATGGTAGTATTAATAATATTTGTTACTTTAATCATACTTATGTAATTGTAATGTTATTATACATATTTATGTTAAAATATAGGCCTTCATTATTTAGTTGTTCGGTATTTTAGTCCGCCCTTCTAATGTATAATTAGAACAGTATAATTAAAACATACATAATGCATCTTTACATCTAGCTATTACTTTTAGTATATTATATAGAAATATGTATAATAATATTCACCCTATTTCTTTTTTCTGCCTCTGTTCTAGCTCCTAGTAAAGCCAATCTTGTGTTACCTCAATATTTCCTCTATCCATCATCTCTTGTCAGTTTTAATATTTCAATTCTTATTCATTTTTTGACTTGCCTCCCAAACTCCTCTCTTGGGTTTTTATCTCTATCTCTATCTTTCCTGTTTAACCTAAGTATTTCTTCCATCTCTACTATCTTTTGCTGCCAAGCCTCCAGAACCTCTGCCCAAGTCTCTATCTTCTTTTCAAGAATATCTTTCTGTTTCTCCAGAACCATTTTTTTGTCTTTTAGTATGTATTTTCCCTGAATTGTTTCATAAGACTTTATTGCCTTCTCCTTCTTGTCTTCTTGTTTTATTTGTTGATTTGTCTGTTCTATCTTTTCTCCTGATGTTTCTATTATCTCCTCTATTTCCTGGGCTTTTTGATCATTGTTCATTATCCCTTGTTGAACACTTTCTAGCTTCCCATCTATGTTATTCATTAGATCTTTTATCTCCCTGTGATTCCTTATCATAATATCATAAATGCTTTGAAACATCGACACCATATCTTTTTGCAACCCATTTATTACCCCCTGCTGAAACATCTTGTCTTCTTTTGATAAGTCCAAATATTGCTTCGTAGTCTGTCAATGGTCTACCACCACCCCAGAGTCCCAATTATCTTTGACCTCAGAAAGTCAATCTGGAAACCATTTACTAAATCCTGATGTTGCTCCTCAGTGGATGGACACTTTAGAAATGATAGAAGCATTGCATGTCAGAAATTTATTTATTTGTTTAATTCAATTTTTACAGTTGCCCATCTCAGACAAGTGACTGTGGGTGACGAACAATTACAAAATCAATTTAAATGTACATAAGCATAATACATACATACATACATACATACATACATACATACATACATACATACAACAGATTATAGTTTTCATACAGATTATAAATGTCATGGACAGGGCGCATATCTCACACTCTCAGTGAAACTGATGCTGAAGAAACTGCTCTAGCTGAACCTGTAGAATGTCAGTCTAAGGAAGGACAAGTCAGAAACCACACAAGGCTTTTCAAACACAGGTAACATGTGAGTAACTAGAAAAGTCAGAGGATGTAAGACCCCCCCTGTCCATGCACCTAATGAGTAGAGATGACAGCAAAACAGCAAAGATTGCATATATCCATGAAATCACCAGCAGTTTGGTTCAACTCAAGTGAGTCTTTATCTTTTTTTTTTTTTTAGAGTTTGAATCAAAAACAGTAATGTTAAACATGACCTAATATTTTTCTTCAAAACTGTCTGTGGACACTAATTCTTTCAGAACCGTACTTTGACTAAAAATGATATATCATTTTAAAACTGTTTTTCAAAAAAATAAATACTAAAAATATTTTGGTTGCTAAGAGTTGACAACAACTTAATGTCATATATTCAATCTATTTCTCTGTTGTGACAATCCATTTCTGTCATAAACAGAAAAGACTTCATTGTTTCATATGGTGGCACAGTGGTTAGAATGCAATATTGCAGAAGTTTGATCTTGACCAGCTCAAGGTTGACTCAGCCTTCCATACTTCTGAGGTTGATAAAATCAGGACCCAGATTGTTGGGGACAATATGTTGACTTTGTACACTGCTTAGAGAGGGCTGTAAAGCACTATGAAGTGGTATATAAGTCTGAGTGCTATTGCTATATGTAAGGATTGCCTCTCCTTCCAATTTAAGAAAGTAAAAACTCTTGAAACGTGGTTGTTCAAAAGAGACCTTTTATTAAGCAGAAGTGATAGCCACCCAGTTAAAGCAAGATTTGAATACCCTTAGGAAAGACAAGTAGGATTAAAGCAGTAGAGTCCCCTCCCTTTAAGTCAGAATGCAGATTTTAACCAATACACAAGTGTGAAGATACTTTCTTTACTAGTTTCCCTAAGAACCCAAACAACCATGCATTCACACTGTTATCCTTTAACGTGAAACAACCCACATGGCTATCATAAAAATTCCTCCAGGTAAAGAGGATCTCAGGGCTCTTTGGCGCCAGGATATAAGTTGTAAAATATCTGTTGACACAGGCAATGCTAGTAAATCAAATCCAAGTCTCCCCCTTCTTCCAATTGAATGGCAGTATCATTTTTAGGGATCTGACACTATATTTCACATGATTCCAAAAAATATCATTGAAGTCCTATTTGAAAACCTTAGAAATGTTGACAAATGTAAATTATAATCCAACACATTAGTAACCCATCATGCTGGGAAAGCTTCTCAAGATGTTTATAGTGTTTAAATTTTACAGGGGAAAGGGGAAAGTAAAGGAAAAAGAAACAATTGGAAACAACGGTTTCCTAATTATATTACCTTTACTTTTTGAAGGGTGGCTTTTAACTGATATTCATTTCCTGGCTCAGCTGGAATACTGACAACACTGCTGGCTTCATTTAACCATAAAATAAACTTATTGAAGTTATGCTGTAATTCTGCGAGAAGATGCTGTTCCTCATCAAATCTGTAGTGACAAAAGAAATATATAATTAAGACTGAATAGATTGTATATTTGTATTAAAAATACATTAATTTCACTATAGTAGGTAACATAAATATTTTAACAGATGCCCAGCAACATATATTTCTTAATTCAAATAGTGTTCACAATTTAAGTGCCATTTTTTCAAATAATCCATCAATTAATCCAGTGCTTTTTAAAATGTCTACATATAAAACCAAAATAATTCAAAAGAGATTGTAGATTTCCAAACTGTTATTTGTTAGTAAATTCACTTGTGGGTAATATTTTGTGAGACAGTGCTAGTTGTGCTGCTAGTAATTCCAAGAATATCTGAAATTGAATTGCTTTATATATAGAATTTAGTGATTGGCGGTGTGCAATCAACACTATGAAATGCAAGTAGGATATAAGAAGTGGCATACATTGCTAAGTTCAAGTTCAAATTTTTATTGTAGGAAATTTTTAAAGCTGAAGTTACCCTGTAACATTTCTTTGAAGGATAGAATGAAAAATTGTAAATATGCAGATGGATCTGAAACCAAATGTGATTCAGAGTTGTCATGGACAAGCACACTGCTTTTGTCAGTACTACCCGAAAGAAGCTGAGTCTTTTGGGAGGTTGCATAGTAGTTACTCATCCCTTCCCCCTCCCCAACAAATGTTTGAGTTAAGAAATACTGTGGTATATCTGTGCTATTCTGAAACATCTTATCTGCTGCTCCTGATGCCTCTTTATTTTAAATACACAATTTTCTAGGACTACATAACTACTATGCCCTGCCATTTACAGACCAATTACAGAGATGTCATATTGGCACATCTGGGAAAACCTGAATCTGAAAGCTTCCAGGTTTTCCCCACCCAAAAGAAAGTCCAAGTCCCTGCACCCACATGTCCATCACATGGTCCAATCAATGCACCGTCCCAACTGGAGATGCCTCCCAGTCACTCCACTCCAGGTGCAGGGCAGGATGTCCTTGATTCTCAAAGAAAAGAATGTTATTATGGCTAAATATCTCCCCTACTCCATACAATCCCCCCTCCCAGTTTCCCACAGCACTAAATAAAGATGCAAAGAAAAGATGGCTTTCAAGGCTGACACTCTGTTCCTGCAGCTCAGGAGAGGTGGAGACTGTGGGTCACATTCTCCTTAGATGTCCCTTTTACACAGAGATTAGGAAAAAACATATTCTGCCAATAACTGCTAGATATCCTGGCCTTTCCGATACTACCTATCTTCAGTGGCTGCTTAAGGATGAACAGACCATAACTACAGTGCAAGTGGCCAGATTCTACGCAGCAGCACTTAGACCATGTATAATTAATAGACTTGATTTTATTATAGATTTTAGTTGTTATTTATTATTTTATACTAGAATTTTTAATTGTATATTTACTGAGTGTTTTTATTTGTTCTGGTCTCTGGTCTAAGACTGTAATAAACTGATAAATAGCTACTATGAGAACCTAGGAAAACACATACCTTCTTTAAGTTAATGGAACTGGTAAAGCCATGCCTTCTGTAAACAATCTTAGGATTTTAAATCTGAAACTCTGTATATCCTTTTTTAATATGGCAATTTGGTAAAAATGATTCCCATGTTTGGAACCTACCAAACAACATACACTTTCCACCACTCCCAAAGGAACAAAAGTATAAGAAAAGAGGACTTGCATTTATATACTAAAAATATGAATTCCTGCTTAGAAGTCCAAATGAACCAAGTAATGCTGTAGACCAATGGTTCTCAACCTTTTCTTCACCATAGACCCCCTTTACTATATAAAGACAAAGAGAACATGCACAGATTTAGAATAAATATTATTGGCTTGCTAATTTCATTTGCAAGAAAATGATGAAAGAGTAACTGAATGCAAACTGAATATGAGCTTGTAGTGTGATGTGGATGCAAAAATAAGTAAATTAATTTTAGGTTGCATTGACTTTTTTCTGATTTGATGAGAGTATTGAGTATTTTTGTGCACCTCTGGCCACAAAACTAGAAGTAAAGCATTCAGAGAATTTTGAATAAATTCAGAGAAGATTAACAATGATTAAGAGATTAGAAATCAAAGCCTGTGATGAGAATTTAACCTCCAGAAAATACAACTGAGGGAAAGTGATGACAATGAAGATGACAACATTCTTCAGATTCCTGAAGGTCTTGGAAGAGTCAATACTTCTTTCTCTTATTCCAGAATGTATGACACAGAATAATGGAACTATAAAATGGAAAATTCAATTGTAGAAAAAACTTCCTAGTAGTAAGAGTGATGGTGAAATCCTTTTTATTGAATCTCAAAGGTACTCTTTTAAAGGCAACTGAACTTTGAAGAAGCTTCTTGGATGAGAAGTGAAATGTCTTCAAGGAAAAACAAAGTCTAGTTGCCTTTGAAAGAGTACCTTTGGGACAGCCATGACCTGGATAACTGAGAATCTCCTTATACTTTTTATTGAATGTATTCAACCAGAGTCAAGGCAGCCTCCTTTTGGAATCTTTTAATTCAGAGTGCTTCACTAATTGGGAATTGGATTTGATGGTCCAAATGACCCTTTCCAAACTTTTATGATTCTCTATAGATGAATACTAGGTTGATAAAAGATCTTTTATAGTCTTGAAAGAATAAACAATCTAGTAAAGCATGACAACAAAAATGAAATTTTACATGCAGGATTATTTATGTCTCCTTTAAGAGACACCACCTTTGAATCAAGAAAATCAATATGTCAGGCTACTCTCCACTAGAAGAGCAGCCTATGACATAAAAGAAATTCCATCCAAATGGGTGAAATATAAGTTCCATGCTAATATACAAGTCTCAGAAGAAATTAATCTTAAAGTACTACTTATTTAATTACCGTATTTTCTGGCATATAAGATGACCTTTTAACACATGAAAATCTTCTCAAAAGTTGGGGGTCGTCTTATACGCCGGGTGTCGTTCTCCTGTAACCAGGCAGACCAGCCCGAAAGGCTCTGACGAGCCTTAAATGGCTCTGGCGATCCAAGCTCTGACGATCTGCTAATCAGGCAACTCAGCTGGGATTGCCAGAGCCATGGAGAAAGAAAAAACTTTTTTCCTTTCACATGGCTCTGGCGATCGAAGCTCTGACGATCTGCTAATCAGGCAACTCAGCTGGGATCGCCAGAGCCATGGAGAAGAAAAAAAGTTTTCCCCCTCCAGCTTGCTTACCTTAGCTGCTAGTCGCAACACTTGCCTTGCTTCGCTTCCTGAATCCATTCCATCAGCAAGCAACTCCCTGCCTGCAATCAAGCAGGCAGGGAGTTGTGGACTTCAACTCCCAGAATTCCTCAGCCAGCAAAACAAAGCTGGCTGAGGAATTCTGGGAGTTGAAGTCTACAAGTCTTAAAGTTGCCAAGGTTGGAGACCCCTGTTCTATTGGGTAAGTTTTTTTCCCCTTTGAGATCTTTAAAAAAAATAGTTAATTGGGTTTTTTTTTAGTTGTTCTTTTTTAGACCTAGCCGTTTAAAGTTTAGGAAGTTTTAAATTTAGCTTTCATATAAAAATAAAAATAAAAATAAAATAATATTTGTGCAGCTTTCTGAGATTTAGTGTGTTTTTGTGGTGTTTCACTCTAACTACACAAACACACAAAATCTCACAAAGCTGTATGTGGAATTTTGTGTGTGTAAAGTGTGAAAGTTGTTTTTTTGGGCTTTTTGTGGCTGTGTGAGGTTCCTGCTTGTTGCAGAGGCCATTTTGGGTCTAGCACAGCTGCTTTTACATTGTGGGTGAGCCAGTTGTGTTGTGTTGTGTGTGTAAAGTGTGAACGTTGGTTTTTTTGGGGCTTTTTGTGGCTATGTCAGGTTCCTGCTTGTTGCAGGGGCCATTTTGGGTCTAGCACAGCTGCTTTTACATTGTGGGTGAGCCAGTTGAAGTTTTTTAATTTTTATTTGGTGTGCGTTGGAAGAGGGGTAGTCTTATATGGTGAATATAGCCCAAACCCTATATTTTAACAGGAAAATTCGGGGGTCATCTTATACGCCCAGTCGTCTTATACGCCAGAAAATACGTAGTAGAATATTTGACAACACAAAATGTTCAACCATTTTTAAGACTAATGTTTCTGAATGCAAATGATATACATTATCAGATTTAAAATATCCTTCAGTACTTTCCAATTAAATAAGCAAGCAAGCAAGCAAACAAAGAGTATTAAGGCATTTCCTTAATAAGGTTTTTTTTTCATATGACAGCCTGGATACTTTTACTATTGCAATAAAACGGTAAGTATAAATGCATAATTTATAGCCATCACATCACATTGAGAAGGGTCAGGTTTCGATGTCTTCTGACCTCACCTCACAGGAATGTTCTCCCCTCCCATCCCATCTCCTAGGGGATATTATCTACAGAGAAAATAAGTAGGTGAAAAGTCAAGCCTCATCTTTTTATGGCAGCATCAGAATGCTGACATTTTCCCTAGATATCTTTAGAGATGTTGGCTGAGATGCCTGTATAAAATATAGGAACCCAGTCCAGCAACTTCCTGATAAAGCCATTCCAACTATAATAATTTCTAGCAATATACTTCCAGAGGTCTAAAATGAAAATATTATGAAAGGATTATCCCTTGCCAGAAGGGATCCATTTTTAAAGATTAAATCCTAAATTAATTGTCTTTGAATTAATACAAATTAATACAAAGCCGTTAGACTTTAATATTTCTCACCTATATTTTAATCTCTAATTAAAGGATGATGGAATTGTTTTACACAATATTGAAACAAGAAATCTGCTTGTCTATTCTTTTTCTGAATATGTAATAATTTGATATATTTCCTGCCTGTTGAGCAAAATAAAAACAGATCATGTAAATTAGATCATTTAAAATAAATCATTTATAATCATTTTGATACAATCTAGCCAAGCAATTTATTTTCATACTCTGGTGATTTCCTGAAGTATTAATAATATGTTGAACAATACAAGCCATTAGTATTAGTATTAGTATTAGTAATATTAGTATAAGAATTAGTATTTATTTATGTATTTATTTACTTAGACAAATAATTGTTAGTATATGGTAAGTTTACTGCACTGTTTCTTCACTGTTACTTTTAATCTGAATTAGAATAGCAATAGCAAAGCATTTAGACTTATATACTGCTTTACAATGCTTTACACCCCTCTCTAAGTGGTTTACAGAGTCAGCATATTGCCCCCAACAATTTGGGTCCTCATTTTACCTACCTCGGAAGGATGGAAGGCTGAGTCAACCTTGAGCCTGGTGAGATTTGAACTGCCAAATTGCAGTCAGCAGTCAGTCAGCAGAGAGCCTGCAGTGCTGCCACCACTGTGCCACCATGGCTCTTATAAAGCTTAATTAAAATTTAGACAAAGATGATGCATATGTATATTGAAACGCAATCTTTAATATAAAAGCAGCTTTTCAATTCTTCTAATATGTTAATTTAAGACTATATTTGAAAGCTTCTAAATAGTAATGATATAATGCCTCTATATATATTGAATATAATTGCATGTCTGAGCAATAAAATACAAGTTTAAATTGACACATACTTTTATTTAATAATCATATTGATGTAGCCACCCATCTCACCAAAAGTGATTCTGGACTCCTGATCAAAATATAACTAAATAAATGTGTGTATATATTTCCAGAATAACAAGAGGGTAATGTTAAATTTAACTTAATTTAATTAATCATATTTCTATGCCGCCCAACTCCCAAGGGACTCTGGGCGGCTTACAACAAAAATAATACAAACAATGAACATAAATTTAAAAAAAAAACATTATAAAAGCATTTTAAAAACATTAAAAACACATGCACTCCATCCATGGCCGGATCTCGCAAGATTGAACAGCGAGATCAATGGCCCCAGGCCTGCCAGAAAAGCCAGGTCTTCACTGCTTTCTGGAAGGCCAATAGGGTGGGGGTAGTCCGGACCTCAGGAGGTAACTGGTTCCAGAGAGCTGGGGCAGCCACAGAGAAGGCCTTCCCCCGCGGGCCTGCCAGCTGGCATTGTTTAGCTGATGGGACCTGGAGGAGACCAATTCTGTGGGATCTTACCAGTTGCTGGGAGCTATGCGGTAGAAGGTGGTCTCGAAGATAACCTGGCCCTGAGTCATGTAGGGCTTTAAAGGTAATAACCAACACCTTGAATTGTGCCCGGAGACCAATAGGGAGCCAGTGCAGCTCGCGGAGAATTGGTGTAATGTGGGTGCATCTAGGTGCATCCATGATAGCTCGCGCAGCTGCATTCTGGACCAACTGTAGTCTCCGAACACTCTTCAAGTGTTCACACTCCATGTAGAGCATGTTGCAATAATCTAACCGTGAGGTGACAAGAGCATGAGTGACTGTGAGGAGAGCCTCCTGATCCAAGTAGGGTCGCAATTGGTGCACCAGGCGAACCTGTGCAAAAGTCCCCCTAGCCACAGCTGCTAGATGTTGCTCTAATCTTAGCTGTGAGTCTAGGAGGACACCCAAATTGTGAACCCGTTCTGAGGGGGACAATTTCTCCCCCCCCCCGAACCAGGGATGGACAATCAACATAGTCTTTAGGAGGCAATACCCACAGCCACTTGGTCTTGTCTGGGTTAAATCTGTGGAAAATAAAACAATACCTTACAATATGCAAATAATGGCCAATTTGCTACATATTTGTAAGAGTTAATTGAAGTACAAATGTAATATTAATATGATCATATTGTACTAATTGGCTTTGTCAAACAAGGGTTTCAATATCAGTCTGATTAGAACAGAGACTGGTGAAAAATCCATAAGTATAAGAACAAAATATATTTATTTCAACTGAATTAGAAATGGATCCAGAAGAAAAATAAAGACTTATATATTGTTTCACAGTGCTTTACAGCCCTCTCTGACATAATTTAAGGTCCCCTGACCCCAGTTATAGAATTAGAATTTCTAGAAAAAACATCAAAGTTTAAATAACTGGCTGTACTTAAAGAAGAAAAGTGCAATCAGAATTTATACTGCTTTTGGTTTTTAAAATAATCCCCAGAAAGCTGCATATTTACTATATTTAATCCTCACTTAATAATGCTAATTGGGACTGACAATTCCATTGCTAAGTTCTGTGCAACATCAAATGACCATGCTGAGTTATGATAGCAATTGTGGCAGTTTAACTGCTATCGTTAGGCAAATTGCATGTAGTCACATAATCCCACAGTCACATGATCACTATTGGAGTCTTTAGCTTGTTTATTCATTTATTCATTCATTCAGCTTGTCTGAGTGTGTAGCTGCAAATATTTACTATATTGTTGGGGGAGGTATCTGTGGAACTCCCCGTTATGTGGAGTGGATGTTTACAGCAGCTGAGTTCTGCTATATAAGTTTGTTGCCTTGTCCTGATAAAATCCTGGTGTAGCTAGTGTTCCAATACAGAGATAATATAGATAATTTTGGTATTTAACTTTTGCATGTTGAAACCATGCTGATAAGATGGTTTAGGAATTTCTTGGAGAGACTGTAACATAATCTTTGGCTACTTGGTTAACCTATACACAAAACTGCTTGGAGAATATTACTCTGCTCTTTCTGACTCATTTGAAGGGCTGTGTGGAATCAGTGCATCAGAGAAAAGAAGATCAAGAATAATTCTGATATGCAATATCTTTTTTTTAAAAAAAATCCATAATCCTCTGCCCTTTTCCAGCCCCTTCCATTCTTAGACAACTCCCAAAAAATATTTTGAACATCATTCTTTTTTTATGTTGTCTGTCTTTGTCTTCTCTTATTCATTTGTGACTCTGAGCAAATATACAATACACTATGATATTACTATAATGACATCATAGTGTATTGTATAACAGTAATTCTTTTAAATGATCCTGTAATCTCTTGATTGAGGTGGAGTTGGGTCGACTGAACTGAGTTTAGCATTTACTGGCTGGATGCCCTTCCTGACGCCTATGAGGAGCTCACAGCAGATCTTTTCTCTTTTCACCCAGAGAGAAAAATATCTGCCACTACCTAGTATCAAACTCACAGCCTCCTGAGGAGGAGCTGACGTCGCGATGGTACGATGGATGATCTTGTAGCTCCAAGATCGCCGTTGATATCTGCTGCTGGACGGTCCTTTTTGGACCTCACCATCCCGTAGAGATGGTGATAGTGGAAGGCACATCCTATTGATCCCAGGGACACCACAAAGTCCCTGGTTGATCCAGGAGAAGCCCTTTTTTCTGGCAGCGAAGAGGCAGCCATTAAGCTGCTGAAGTTGGGACAGCTCTGGAGTGAAAGAAATCGAGAGAAAGTGTGTCGGCTCGGTGAGAGACCTTTTAAATAGATTATTTGAAGAACACCCTGAGGTGAAAACATAATTAAAATTGAAGACATAACAAGTTAAACGGTGGAATTAAGCCTGACTCTAAGGTAGCTTTTCCTATTTTTCAACTTACCTCTATTTGTGGATGTTTATGGATGATTTTATTCTTTAACTTGGACTGGCCTGGATTGGACTGGAGATTTCTGTTTTATTTACTTAATTGCTAAAATTTTAGTGCCTTTTTAGCACAAATTCTCTCTGGTTTTACTTTTTTATTTTTCTTTTCTCTCTATTTTCATTTTATCGTGTATTGGATACAGGAAGAGAAGAGAAAGTGGAGAAAATAAGTAACACTGCCATCTAGTGGATTGGAAATATTGTATCTTTTTTTCCCTCTGGTAAAAGAAAGTAACAACTTGCTACATTTCAAGGACTCTGAGCCTATTCATACATAAGATAGTGGGAAGAGCATCAAAGACTGTCCGCAGGTGTCAGGTATGCTTCCTTCAGTATCCAGGAAAGAAAACCCCAAACTCAAGCATTTTGAAGAATTTAGTACTTTTACTGAATATGAAATGATAGCAACCCAGGTAAAGCTGGAAGTGAGCAAAACGCGCGAAATGCATCTACTAAGCTTCTCCTCCCCTCGTGTTCATAAATCATCAGCCAATCCAAAGGTCTTCCAAAGGTCAGGTGGCAACACGTCTGGCAGCATCATTCATCAGGAATGTAGGGCAGTTGGTCAGCCGTCCCCTTTGAAGATCCACTTTCGTTTCTTATGAGGACACATCCTACAAGGAAAAAAAACACCTCCTGCATCTTCCCACCCTCTGCTCCATAACTAATCCCTCCCCCCCGTTTCTTATGGAAGCTGAAGCAGGCAAAGCTGAGGCTGACATTCAGCCCCTCTTGCAGAAGAGACGTTATTCCTAAATAAAAGGAAAGAAGAGAGACAGAGACAGAATATATACAATAATTATGGTTTATCTGGGTATTTGGTATAGAATTGTTGTATTTTCTTGGGAGCTTGGACATCTCGTTTATTCACCCATTCAGCCTGAGATAAAGGAAAATGTTTCCAGGCAATCAGATATTGGACTTTACCATGGTGTTTTCTAGAGTCCAAGATTTCCTTAACTTCAAAATGTTGCTCCCCTTCTATGAGAATGGGAATTGGAGGGGTGCTTTGATCAGTCCTTAGGGGAGATGAGTGTTCAGGTTTCAATAAACTAACATGAAATACAGGATGTATTCGTCTCAAGGTTTTTGGCAATTCCAATTCAACTGTTACTGGATTAATCAATCTAATCACACGAAATGGTCCCATATACTTAGGCCCTAGCTTTTTGGACTTCTGGGTAGTTTGTAAGTATTTAGTAGATAAATAGACTTTATCACCCACTTTATAAATGTGGGCTGGGGACCTTTTCTTATCAGCTTGTGCCTTATGGGCCCAGTGTGCCTCATCCAATGCTTTCCAAGTCACTGCCCATGTGCTCTTTAATTGCTCAATCCAATCCATCAAGGAGGGATTCTGAGGATCATCTTGTGGTAGCTCGGGAATGGGTACGAAATCCTGGCCCGATGCGACCTTAAAAGGAGTGAATCCGGTGCTACTGTGTACGGAATTATTATATGCCACTTCTGCAAATGGCAACAAGTCTACCCAATTGTCTTGTTAGTAATTTACGTAACACCTCAGGTATTGTTCTAGCACCCCATTGGTTCTTTCACAGGCTCCATTTGTCTGGGGGTGGTGACTGGAGCTTAGCCCCTGGGCAGAGCCTATTAACTTTAAAAACTCTTTCCAGAAACTGGAAGTAAATTGTACACCCCTGTCAGAAATTATTCTTTTTGGAGATCCATGTAGTCGGTAAATCTGTCGAATAAACAGTTTTGCGAGAGTTCTTGCTGAAGGGATCTTTGAGCAAGGGATGAAATGTACTTGTTTGGAAAACAGATCAGTTACTACCCAAATGACAGAGCAGCCCTCACTCTCTGGTAAGTCCACAATAAAGTCCATAGATATTTCTTTCCATGGGGCATTCGGTCTAGCCACACTTTGCAGTAATCCAGGGGATTTTCCTGGAGGTCTTTTAGCTGAGGCACATACTGGACAGCTAGCCACATATGTCTCTATGTCCTTTTTAAGTGCTGGCCACCAAAATTGTCTCTTAACAAGATGTAGAGTCTTGACAAACGCAAAGTGTCCTGCGGCCTTGGCATCATGAGCATATCTCAATACGGTTGTTCTTAATGTGGCTGGAACATACAATTTCGATCCAACCCAAGCTAATCCGTCTCGAAGTGTGCATTCATTCAAGTGGGCCTTAAACCACTCGTCAGTTTTTAGCTCTTCTCGCAATTTTTCGAGCAAATCCCCCGAGAGTTCTGGTTCGGTTTTACTCTGCGCTCTGGTAGTGACAGGTGTTGCCAATTGCGTCAAGGGGATCATTGGTTGAACCACTTCCTTCTTTATGCTGTTGTACTGTGGCAATCTGGAAAGTGCGTCCGCCATGAAATTTTTTCCACCAGGAAGGTAACGTAAAGTAAAATTGAAACGCTTGAAGTGTTGGGCCCAGCGAGCCTGTTTTGGTGATAGTTTGCGTGGCGTTTTTAATGCTTCTAGATTCTTATGATCAGTCCACACCTCGAAAGGGTGTTTTGCCCCTTCTAGAAATTGTCTCCATGTTAACAGCGCCCATCTAACTGCAAACGCTTCTTTCTCCCATATGGCCCATCTCCTTTCCGTGTCTGATAGTTTACGGGACGTGTAAGCACAGGGTTGTAATATCCCGTTTTCATTGTTTTGCAAGAGTATTGCTCCCACAGCGACGTCGCTGGCATCGGCTTATACTACAAAAGGTTGTCCCATGTCGGGGTGTTTGAGCACAGGTTCAGCTGCAAACAGTCGTTTCAGTTTTTCGAAAGCAGCTTGACATTCCATAGTCCATTCTAATGGTTTCGAGGGTTTGGGTTTTACTTCCCCTTTGGTTTTTAGCAAGTCTGTAATTGGCAGTGCGATTTTCACGAAAGAGGGGATAAATTGTCTATAAAAATTAGCGAACCCTAAGAAACTCTGTAACTGTTTACGGGTGCGCAGTGTGGCCCATTCCACCACTGCCCGGATCTTTTCCGGGTCCATCTCTATTCCCTCCCGCGATATACGATATCCAAGATAGTCGATTTTGTCTTGGTGAAATTCACATTTAGAAAGTTTGGCATAGAGTTCAGCTGCTCTGAGTTTATTCAAGATCGCTCGAACCAGTCTTACATGGTCGGCCATGTTGTCAGAATAAATCAGAATGTCATCCAAATAGACCAACACCCCCTTGAACAGGTGCTCGTGCAACACTTCGTTGATTAACTGCATGAATACAGCCAGGGCTCCCTGTAGTCCAAAAGGGAGTACTCTAAACTGGAAACATCCCAGTGGGCAATTAAATGCTGTCTTCCATTCATCTCCCTCTTTTATTCTCACTCGGTAGTATGCCTCTCTTAAATCAAGTTTGGTGAAAATTTTTCCCTTCCCTAGATGGGCTAACATGTCCTTCATGAGTGGGAGGGGATAGACATTTTCTACGCAAATTGCGTTTATGTTTCTATAATCAACTACTAAACGGAAGGATCCATCTTTCTTCTCTCGGAACATTACTGGCGCCACCACCTTGGGTTTGGCTCTTTCGATGAATCCCCGTTCTAAGTTTTTGTCGATAAAATTCCGCAATTCCCCCAATTCTCGAGGTGTCATGGGGTAAATTTTTGGTTTGGGAAGCTTCACTCCAGGGAGTATTTCAATGGTGCAGTCAGTGGCTCAGTGGGGAGGCAGAGCATCTGATGCTTTTTCGCTAAACACTTCCTTGAGATCCCAATATTCCTTTGGAATTTTTTCTTCTCCCTCAATATAGTTAATAGCTACTGCCACCCTTTCTGATCTTATGTCGTCCCTCGGGGGGGGGCTTCCTTTTCCGGAGCTGGTTCTGCTGTGCATATGCGCAGGACCCCCGTCTTCCAATTTACTCGTGGGTTCCATTTGCGAAGCCAGGGCAGTCCTAGAATGAGGGGTCTTTCCATGCCAGGGGCTACAATAAATCTGAGATTCTCTACATGATTTCCCAACTGCAGTTCAAGGGGTTCAGTCATGAAGCTAGCTGGGCCCCCTCCTGCAATCAACCCGTCTAATTGACAAAATGCAATGGGTCTTTTTAAAGTTTTTAGTCTCAGTCCCATTTCCTCCACTACTTTGGGGCTAATTATGCACCTAGTGCACCCCGAGTCCAACAGGGCTAACAATTGCGCATGAGTCCCTGTGGAGGGCACCCTTATTGAGGAAGATATTAAATGATACTTGCAGAAAGCGAATCTACCCCAGATCTCTAAAGATACTGAAATGATGTTAGAAGGAAATATAACGATGATGGAATTAACTGAAGCACTTAAAAAACAAAAGAATGGGAAGGCACCAGGCCCGGATGTATTGCTAGCGGAATATTATAAGACACTACAAGAAGCGTTGAGTCTCCCATTGTTAGAAGTCATGAATGAAGTTATGTCAAAGATGAAACTACCCAAGTCATGGTCAGAAGCATATATTAAACTTGTTCCAAAGGAGGATACCGACCCACAACAAATCAAGAATTATAGGCCTATATCCCTGTTAAATTCTGACTATAAAATCTTCGCTTCAATATTGGCAGAAAGACTCAAAAGATATTTAAATAATTTTATACATTCCAATCAAAATGGGTTTCTGCCAAAAAGACAGATTAAAGATAACATAAGGATAATTCTGGATACTTTGGAATACTATGAGGCACATCCTGAAAAACAAATGGCTTTGATATTTTTAGACGCACAGAAAGCCTTTGATAATGTGAATTGGCAATTTATGCTTTTGCAGCTGGAGCTTTGGTAGAAAGTTTATTTAAGCCATAGAAGCCATATATCACAAACAAACAGCAAAAGTAATGATAAATGGAGAATTGACAGAGTCTATTGAAATAAAAAAAGGAACGAGACAAGGCTGCCCACTGTCACCTTTGTTGTTTGTGTTAACATTAGAAGTGCTAAACGGAAAGATTAGAGAAGAAAAAGACATAAAAAGAATGAAAATTCGAAAGGAAGAATATAAACTACAAGTGTTTGCAGATGACCTGGTTTTTATTCTTGAAGATCCATTAGAATCAGCAATTAAATTGATAGACAAGATAGGATAATATGGAAAATAGCAGGTTTGAAAATAAATAAAGACAAAATGAAGATTTTGACAAAAAATATGTTAATAAAACAAAAAGAAGAACTAGCGGAAGTATTGAAGATGCAGGTCACAAACAAGGTTAAGTACTTGGGGATATACTTGATAGCAAGATGTAGTACACTCAAAGAGAACAACTACAATAAATTCAAACAACAGATGGTGATGGACTTGGCAAAGTGGAAAAATTTACAGCTATCACTAATAGGGAGAATATCAAGGATTAAGATGAATATATTACCTAGGATTCTATATTTGTTCCAGATGATTCCAATTAGGTTGGGGAAAGAGTATTTTGAAGATTTAAATAAAGTAGTGTTGAAATATATTTGGCAGGGCAAAAAAGCGAGGATAAAACTAAAACTGTTGCAAGATGCTAGAATACGAGGTGGATTTGGCCTGCCTAATTGGGAATTATACTATCAAGCAACAAGTCTGATGTGGATTAAGGAATGGATAATGTTAAGAAATACTAGATTATTGACTTTAGAAGGACATGATTTGTTGTTGGCACACTTTTTTATGGTACAAGGGAACAAAAACACAGGGGTATTTTAGACGACATTTTATATCTGAGGCTTTGTTACTAAACTGGGAGAAGACCAAAAGACAATATTATTTAAAAATTCCAGTCTGGTTATCAACTATTGAAGCATTCTCATATTCAATAACGTTTAGAAAGGAACAAATTGTTAATGAATTATTGAATGAAAAGGGTGAACTTAAATCTATGCAAGAAATGGAAGAACAAGATATAAAGATGAATTGGTTTTCCTATTTGCAAATACAGTCTAAATATGATAAAGATTTAAGACAGAAGGTTTTTATAATAATTTGACTAATTTAGATAAAATTTTAACAGGTACTGATGAAAACATAATTAAAAAACTATATGGACATTTATTAGAGGTCAAGCTGGAAGAAGAACAAGTTAAAGAAACAATTATTGCTTGGGGGAAAAACTTTGGACATGGAATTGACTTAGAGAAATGGCAAAAATTATGGTTGCAAAATTATAAAATGACAATGTCAACTACATACAAAGAAAATTTGTATAAGATGTTTTACAGGTGGCATCTACCCCCGACGAGAATAGTCATAATGTTCAAGAATAAATACAGAGGGTAGGATACTGATGTTAGAGATTAGTATTGGCCAAAAAATAGTATTGTTAGTAAATATATATGCCCCTAATGTTAACCAAATGGGTTTCTTTAAAGATTTGTATGAAAAAATCAATGAATTAAATTACGAGCATGTATGCATAGTAGGTGACTTCAATGCGATTGCTGATACTTCAATTGATTATGATCCAGGAAAGGGCTCGCCTAAATATAAAAAAGGGCATAGGAAGGTACTCCCTAAAACATGGGATAACCTAAAAACAGAAATAGGGTTAAGAGATGTCTGGCGAGACTTCCATCCTGTGCAAAAGCACTTTACATATTTCTCCCCTAGGCACAGATCATGGTCCAGGATAGATATGGTCTGGTCGACATCAGATCTGAAAGAAGACATAAATTCGGTTGAAATAGGGACGAATATATGGGCAGACCACCACCCTCTGGTAACAAATTGGAAGGGGTCCACTAGAAGAGCGAGATGGTCTGTGAGGGCTGAGATCATGAAAGACGAGGGATTTATAAATATGATTAAAAAAGAATTAGATCATTTTTTTACCGAAAACAAGAGAGAAGATACTTCCCTTCAAAATATTTGGGATACTGTTAAAGCAGTAGTTAGGGGATTGGTAATAAAATATACAGCTACCAAATGGAGAAAGGAGAAAGCCAAACGGATTGAGTTAATGGCTGAATTGGAGAAAGCTGAAGGAGAACTGCATTTAGATCCGCATAATAATTTGACTAAGGAGAAAATTGACTTGATTAGGCATGAGTTATCTATCCTAGACCAAAACGATTTGGCGAATAAAATCCGGAAATGTCGACAAAATCAATTTGAGCATGCTAACAAGCCGGGCCGGTGGTTGTCATATAGATTAAGAAAAGAGGCAGAATCTAGAAAGATTGAATTTTTACAGGACTCTATGGGAAATTTGGTAGGTACTACAGAGCAAAAAGCAAAGGTGGCCCAAGATTTTTCTACCTCTTTATATAGCCAAGAAATCTATCAGGAAGATAAACTCAAGAGTTATCTCCAGAATCTACAATTGGAGTTGATTCCGGATCACTGTAAAGAGATTTTAAATGCAGAAATTACAGTTGGAGAAATAGCAGTAGCTATCAAGAAACAAGCCAATGGCAAAACTCCAGGACTGGATGGGATTCCTAATGAATTTTATAAAGGAGTCTTTGACTCACTTAGTTTGCATATTAAAGATCTATTTAATGAGGTTTTACTATATTCTAGGATACCCCGGTCCTGGACAGAAGCCTACATTTCCCTAATCCCGAAACCCAAAACAGATAAAACTCTGATCCAGAACTATAGACCAACCTCGCTCCTGAATGTGGATTATAAGATTTTTGTGACAATACTAGTTGAGAGACTCCAGGTGTTCCTGTCCCGATTTATCCACCAAGACCAGAATGGTTTCCTGCCTCATAGGCACCTAAGAGATAACGTAAGGCTGGTATTGAATGCCTTAGAATACTATGAGACACACTCTGATAAACCAATGGTAATGATTTTTCTGGACGCCCAAAAGGCTTTTGACAGAGTCAGCTGGAATTTTATAATACAACAATTGGAAGTGATGGGTTTTGGGTCTCAATTTACAAGGGCAGTTCAAGCCATCTATTCTAAACAGTCGGCAAGGCTATTGTTTAATGGATCACTATCAGATGAGATACAGATTTATAAAGGTACCAGACAAGGATGCCCTCTTTCACCGCTGCTATTTATTCTTAAAACGATTAGGCAGGATTCGGAAATTAAGGGCTTAAAAGTTAAAGGGGGAGAATACAAACTCCAAGCATTCGCCGACGATTTGGTTTTCATATTAGAAGATCCCCTTAATACGGGACCAAAATTACTTATGAAATTAGACGGGGAGATAGCGGGATTAAAAATCAATAAGGATAAAGCCAAAATGTTAACAAAAAATTTGTCAGGTGCCCAAAAGGAACAGATCCAAAGTATTATGGGGATTAATTGTGTCAAAAAACTTAAATATTTAGATATTTGTCTTACAAATAGATGTTCTTCTATCAAAGAGCTCAATTATTCTAAATTATTAATAGACACAGCGAACAAAGTGGAGAGATGGCGGCATATTCAGATCTCATTTTTGGGTAGAATTGCCGCAATAAAAGCCCATGTTTTACCGAAATGGATCTTTTTATTTCAAACAGCTCCTGCAAGATTGGATAAATTTCTTTTTAGGAAATTAGACCAAATTCTAAGTAAATTTATTTGGCAGAGTAAAAAACCCCGTATAAAAAGAAAAATGCTGCAAGAGCACAAAACAAGGGGCGGCTTGGGACTCCCTATGTGGGAGCTTTACTACCAAGCTTCATCCCTGGTTTGGATAAAAGATTGGGTGATCCTCTCAAGAAAGCGCATTTTAGCAATTGAAGGATATGATTTGCAGCAGGGATGGCATTCCTTTTTGTGGTCTCAGAAAGACAAACAATCCAAATATTTTACAAATCATTATATTAGAGGAATTTTATTAAGGGTTTGGGAAATGGTGAAAAAGCAAGTTTACACACAGATTCCTAAATGGGTGTCTCCGTTAGAGGCAGTGACCCTTCCGACTGTGCACAACACAAAGAGGAACTGGGTTTATGGTGACTTGTTGGATGAAGTCGGGAGACTTAGACCTAGAGCCGATCTCCAAACTAGAGGATTAAATATAGATTGGTGGTCCTATGAGAAAATTCAAACTAGATTCGCTAGGGATAGACAGGAACATGGTATTTCCCTTCATTTACAAACTTTTGACAAGTTTCTCCTAAGTGGCCAAAGGAAATTTATTTCCAACGTTTACAATTTTCTTCTATCCAATTTTATGGCGGAGGAGATTGTAAAGGACACGATGATTGCCTGGGGGAGAAATATTGGAACAACAATTCAGCTTGATGCATGGCAAAATGTATGGAACAAAACTATGAAATTGACCCTTTCTTCCTCATTCAAAGAAAACTTTTATAAGATGATCTACCGTTGGTATCTCCCCCCCACCAGAATCGCTAAGATGTTCCCAGGATCCTCTGATAGATGTTGGAAATGTGGGTCAGCCAAGGGTACTTTCTTCCATCAGTGGTGGATTTGTCCGTCGACTAGACATTATTGGGGAAAAATACAGCAGCTGCTGGAAATAACAGGTGTGAGCTTTCCCCTTCACCCAGACCTCTACTTACTAGGAATAAGACCGGACCACATTGACAACAAGGATTGGTACATATTTGTCCATGTCACAACAGCGGCAAGAATGGCATTTGCCCAACTGTGGAAAGATGCAGATACGCCCCCCGACCATCTGATAATAAATAAGATTCTTCGAGGTGCTGAGATGGACAGGTTAACATATATATTAAAAGATAAGAAAGACTCAATATATAATAAAAGTTGGGACAGATGCTTTGTCTGGCTTAAAAAAAGGTTAAACCTAGGGTGATATGATCATTTTATTAGACTAAATAGATACTTAATAGGCTATATAATTCTTTATAATCTTGAAAAAAACAGGACAATTGTTTTGTAGATAATTAAAAGAACTTGATTGTATTGAAATGTTTGGTTAGGATGATATTAGTTAATATTAATTGGAAAGTGAGTTTAACTCTCAGTTAGTCATGTTTGTTGTTTCGTTTTAGTCTTGTGTTTATGTGTCCTTACATTTCATTTCTTATATTGTTTTCCAATCATTATTATGTGTCAATTTTACTGTAAATATTTAATAAAGATATTTTTTTAAAAAAAGAATAAATCCGAAAAATGTTGGAAATGTCATCAGATACCGGGTTCATATTACCATATGTGGTGGACATGTGTAGAAACTAAAAGATACTGGACTAGAATCCAGACGTGGTTGGAAAAAATGACAAAAAAACACATAGATTTTAAACCAGATATTTTTTTAATTGGGGACTATACCTGAAATATATAATAGAGAATTGAGATATTTGATTGTTAATGTATTAACAGCGGCTAGAATTGTGTTTGCTAAAAATTGGAAAAATGAGAAAATACCAATGCAGGATAAAGTTATTAAGGAAATAACAGAGACTTCCGGTGGTGACGCGGATCGAAGCGGCACGGGGAAATAGTGCCGAATTTCCAGCGTTGTGGCACCCATTAAAGGGAGGACTGGTCTTGGTGAGACCGGTAAGAAAGAGGGGAGCCTTCGGAAGAGGTGCGGAGAGGTGCAGTCTCCCACCACACCAAGAAGGATCCTTAATCCAAACATGGAAAAAAGGCAGCTGCCATGGCTGGCCCAGAGGTCTGACGCAACGAACGAAACAGCAGGAAGCAGAGAGTGAGTACGGTGGGAAGATCGGCGGTGAGGGCAGAGGTTTAAAACACCATAAAACTTTTGGATAAGAGAAGAAAGAAGAATTTAGAGCCCGAGAGACAGCTGAAAAGAAGAGAGACTCACAGAGGCAGCAGGCGGCAAATAACGAGGAGAGTAAAACGGCGAGGGTGAAGCTAGACCAGTAGGAAACACCGGAGGAGCGGAAAAAAAATAAACGATTGAGAAGGCGAGTGTTTCAGAAAGCAGAGAAGTGAAGAGAAGTGACTGTGAGGTGTTAGCTTCACCTGTAATAGAGCTGTTCTAATGGAGAAAAAAGTGTGGACCGGCAAAAGTGGAATTACACAAAAGTGACATAGCAGATTTGAAATCGTCATTTTGAAATATCAACGGGAGGAATAACTCTCCAAAAGAAAAGACTATAAGCGATCTACACTTGAATTTCCTATTGACTAATCAGAAAAGGGGATAATTAAAAAGCAAGCAACAAGTGAAAAGACACTGTGAATAATTTTATATTTATATCTACCTATCTATTATATTTATAGCTATTATATTTATGTCTATAATTAATTGGACAGACAAATAATTTATATTTATTTAAACTTATCTAATTAACTTGATAATTAATTATAATATAATAGTAAGTAGTACATTGGGATACTTAGTAATTATTGATTATTTATTACTGTCCATATTTCATAGCTCCTTCCTTAAGTGTACTGCTATAAGTGTCTGAATTAGATCTTGATTGTTGATTATATTTTTAATAGTAATTTATTGTTTATAGTAATTTACTGTTTATAGAAAATATATAACTTAAGTTAATTTTAGAAAAATATAAGCTGATGAATTGATAACAATAATAGCATAAGACCATTAGTATTTAGAACATTAATTAAGGTATATTAGCAAAGGTTTTGGGAAGACCATACCTAAACATATTAGTATTGTACTGTATTGTATAAGAAGAGGGAGAGAGAAGAGGGGAGAAGGGAAGGAAAAGAAAGAGGGGGAAGAGGGGAAAAAGGAAAATAGAGTTAAAGGTGCATGCTGATCTGGGAAAA